TAAGGAATGATTAACAAACGTAGAAGTTGTTGCAACATCGCAACTGGTGATTGCTTCATTTTGCCACCCCCGTTCACGAACAAGGTGGCCCACAAAAAGGAATGTCTGTGTAACCCGCAACATATAGAAACTTTCGTTTGTTGCTATGACAGGAATCCTGCTGCAATCTGCCACAAAAAAAGAACTCCTAGTGCAATCCGCTACGAGAGGAGTCCTTGTAAGAATCTGCCACAAGTGGATTCCTGTTGCAATGGGGCCCGCAAGGAATCCTAATTGCAACCAGCCGTACAAGGAATCCTCTTGCAAACGCTAACGAAAGAAGTCCTTTTGCAGCAATTTGCACAGAAGAACTCTTTGCTGATCAACCATGCAGGGGGGCCTCTTGCAATCTGCAACAATCGAAATCTTTGCCGCAGTCCGCCACATAAGGAATCCAATTGTAATGCGCCTGCAAAGGAATCCTGTTTTAATCGGCAACATCAGAAATACGCTGCCACAAAAGAAAGGCGGCTGTAGTCCCCTACAAATGGAATCATTTTTTGTAATCCGCCACAGCAGAACTTCTGTTGCATCAAGTCACAACATGATATTGCTTCGCAGCTTGTCACACAGGAAAACCCCGTTGCTACAAACATGAATTCATGTGGAACGCCCGCACAACAAGGAAGCGTTGCCTAATATCGTTACGAAGCAGACGCAACAACAACATAAACAGTATAAGAAAACATAATAACTCCAGCACCGAAAACAAACCCTGGCGACGGACCCGACCAGAAGCAGGCGTGCGTACCGCAAGGCAGGTGGAACGGAGGATGGGGAAGTCCTTATGGGACCAAAACCCGTGTGAGGGATGTGCAGAAGTGGGGAGGTGCCGCCTTGCGGGCATTGGCATCGGCGCCGTGGGCGGAATTTCCCATGGCTTGTAGGGCCAGGAAACGTGTGAGAGGTGTGCCGGCATGAAGTGCCGACGCCATTCAGACCCTGACATCGGGGCCTTAGCTAGAGCTCCCGATGGGGCCACAACACGTGTGAGGATTGCGCCGGAATGAAGCACCGACGCCAAGCGGACTGGTTTTGGGCCTTAGCTGGGGCTCCCGATGAGGCCACGGAACGTGTGAGGGGTGCGCCGACATGAGGCACCGCCGCCATGCGGACCTTGGCATTTGGGCATTCGATGGAGCTCCCTATGGGGACACGCAGCGTGTGAGAGGTGTGTCAAAGTAAGGCACCCCCGTCGTGCGGACCTCGGCATTTGGGCCTTCGCTGGAGCTCCCTGTGGGGCCACGAAACGTGTGAGGGGTGTGCCGAACCGGTGTTGGCGCTCTCATGCGGACCCTGGCATTTGGTCCTTGGCTGGAGCTCCCTATGCGGCCACTAAATGTTTAAGGGTGTACCGACATGGACACGGGAGGGCTGAGGCAGGAACGGGATGCGGATGGCGGTGGTGTTGATGGTAACGATGTTGATTTTGATGACGATGAGGATCCGCGGAGGGCAGAGGCAGGGATGGGAGGAGGGGGAGGACGATATTGCAAAACAACGATTCCCTCCAAGTGCCCTGATCACCGGCCCCTACACGGGTTGATTTTCATTGAAGGAAGTGCCCCGTTGGAAGACAACCGTTTGAAAACCCTGAACTGCGCCAGAACACGATTCCTGGGATTTCAACTCCGCGAATCACCAGTATTGTTGCGCATGACGGCTCTGAGTTGTGCCAGAACCTCAACACCACGGATGAACATAAGTGTTGCGACCTGACAGTTCGACATCGTGCCAAAGCGTAGCTGTAAGTCTCTATGTACGCTGACCATGGGAATGTTTGCAACTATTGCGAACTTTCAAACAAATGCACGCGGAGCTAAGCGAGAGCCGCATGTTGAGAAGGAGTGGCCCTCTATTTGCGAAACTGCTGCGAACTGTTGAGTCGAATTCTGCGCGGCGCAGAGGCGAGAGCCACATTTTGAAAACCACCCGCCCTCGATCAGTGAATCCGTTACAAGCTTTTCAGACGAATGTGCGCGGCGCGTGGGCGAGAGCCACTTTTTGAAGACCACCCGCCCTCCATCCGTGAAGATGCTGCAAACGTTTAAGACGGATGTGCGCAGCGATAAGGCGAGAGCCACATTTTGAAAACCACCCGCCTTCCATCCGTGAAACTGCTGCAATAGTTTTAAGACGAATGTGCGCGGCGCTGAGGCGAGAGCCACATCTTTGAAATGGCCCGCCCTCCATCCGTGAAGCTGTCGCAACGCTTCAGGATCATAAATCGTGAGGAAATCTCAGGCGAAACGCCCGGCCCGCCCTTTCGACAGGCCTCGGGGTGCGACAAGAAGGAGCTATGTATGAGGAAAGGAGTGGAAGAGGATGAGGAGGAGGGAGGAGGAGGAGGAGGAGGAGGAGGAGGAGGAGGAGGAGGAGGAGGACGCGGGGCGCTGCTGATTCAAAACGAGCACCCAGGTCAACACAGGATGTTTGGGAACTCGACAGCTCCTCGTCAGCGATACCCCAGGCTTGGCCCCACGGGAGGGGCCCCGGGGTCCAGGACCCGTGCCCCTCGCGGCCCGGGGCTCTCGATGCTGCAGAGGACCTCGCGCACACCCGCGCGGGCGAGTGGGCGCTGTCGGCCTTCTTCCCGCCCGAGCTGCGGGGCCTCTTCGTCGACTGCCTCGGCGTGCGCGAGGTCGTGAGCAGGGAGACGCTCTTCGAGGGCCACCGCCAGGATCTACGGGGCCCCCCGATGGGGTCAGCGTGGGTGGGGCCAGAGGATCGCGCCGCATCGCCGATGCATCGGCGACGCGGCTAAACGTGAAGCCCGATTTCCACGCCAACGTCGCCGATGCATCGCTGACGCATCGGTGTTGCATCGACGATGCGGCTCGATCCTCCGACCCCATCAACTCCGATTCCATTTGGGAGGTCACCGCCAGGAGGGATAGTCTCAGGGGGGACGCAACCACCACAAATCGCCCCCTGATCGCCAACAGGAGCCCGACAGACCCGCCCGCCTAGGAGAGTGCGGATTCGCTATCGTGGGCATATCGCCGATGGATCGGCGATGTATCGCCGATCCAAGCTCGATGTTTCGCCCCCGTGGTCTTCAGGTCATAACTCGGCTCTCCGGCGGCCGTTCGGGAGGATCCGGGCACTCCAGGAACGCTTTCGACAAGGCGCAGCCGTTGGAAGGCATCTTGAGGCTGCAAGGGCCGCCGAGAAGCAACGAAGACGCCCGAGAACTCCAAATCTCGCAACTCGAAGCTTCTTAACACCCCCCCCCTCCCAGCGCCCCCTCCCGCCCCTGACGTTCCCCTTCACAGGAGGGGCGGCACCGCCGCGCGCGGGATGACCGCGCCGCGGCCCCCGCGGCGGGCTTCCACAGGGAGCGGTCGGTCAACGAGAGCGGCCTGCCCGACGACCTCCTCGCGGGCTGCCCGTGGGAGGGCCGCGCAGGCCGCGGCGGCAGGGGCGTGAGCCTGCAGGACGGGGGTCAGAGGAGGAAAGGGTATCCATACTGCTACCCTTGCCTCGTCTCCCCCCTTTGGGGGCCTCCTGGAAGGCCCTCGTCGCCACCGCTGGATGCGCGCCCTGGGAGAGATCCGGGGAGCAGCAGTATCGGTACCTGGTGGCTTCCTCAGGGGAGGGAGGAAAAACGTCTGCACAAAAATGTTGGCTTTCGGATCGGAGCTGGACCCTCTACTTCCACCAGGCCCCCATCGGTTGGGCCATAAAGATATCACGGCGGGGGCGGGTCGGCCGCTTTCGGGGTCCAGGGGCCCTGGACGGGCTCCGGAATGTTAAGAAAAACATTCACCATGAAAGGCCGTCCTCAGGAATGGGTCTTGACTTCCAAGGCCCACGTTGTCAACAATCAAGGAAGGAAAAACCACCCAGACTCGGCCCTGGGCGTTTACTAACAGCCCTGCCCTGTTTGATTACTTCTTTGGGGAAGTTTACTAAACGACTTCGCGTGTCGGGGTGATAATTATGGGGGTGGATTTAACACCTTTGAACAAGACTCATTTCATTGGGAGTCTGGATCCCTGGCTCGCGGAGCGCCAGGGAGAAAGAATTGCACAACAACGTAATTATTAGACTTTCGGGTCGGAGCTGGACTCTGTGCAGTCCCTTCCCTCGCATTCCGCCTCTGGGGCCCATAACGGGGCCCTGGGACCATCAAAAATGATTCCAGGACGAAAGAGTAACCCCAGAGAGGAGGTTGGGAGTTCAGGGGCCGCGCATTGAAAAAGTTTGAACGGTGGGTATCTTGGCCTGGTGCACGGAACGCGGCAGTGGCGGCGCCTCCGGCGCCGCCAGGGGGTGGCCAACCCTGATCCGAGAAATCCCCGCGGACCTCCGACAGTTTCTGTACACCCTGACATCCAACGTCGCGGACAAAGATGCAGCATCGTCGGGAATCTCGGCATCTGTAAGGCCGGATCGATCCGCCATGGGGCTCGACATAGCCAGGGCAGCGCTGAGTGGGGATAGGCTCAGGGGTGCACGCATCGACCCCTGGTCGCCCATTTATCGCCGATGGGGCCCCGGCAGCCCGGCCCCGCGCGCGAACGTGCCGATTCGCTATCGCGGGCATATCGCCGATCTGTCGGCGATGTATCACCGATTCCACCTCCATGTTTCCCCCCTGAGCTGAGCTGATCCCTTCTCACGTCGCCCCTCATTCGGAGGCGCCGCCAGGACTTGGCCAGCGCCAATCTACGAAATCCGGGCGAACTTCCGAAGGCTTCTTTTCACCCCGAGAGCCAACGTCGCCCCACTTCGAACACAAAAATGCAGCGTCGCGGGACATCGCGACAAAAGCCCCAGATTCTAACTTTCTGCGGCACTTCTCGAGCCGGATCGACCAGTGAGGGCCCTGGGGCCCGACGTAAGGCGAGATCCCCTGGTGTGAGCCCCAGACATCCCATGTCTTTGATTTGTGTTGATGCTGGGCCCCCGGAAGTCCCGACCTCTTCCCCAGGCTCGGTTTTTCGTCCCGAGTGTTTTTGTTAGTCCCAGAGCCCGCCGAGGGCCCCCACACCCCGAAATTTTATCAAAAATTCTTTACGCTTCGCGTATCCCCACCAGCCCATCTCACAGCAGCAACTCTCGCGAAGCATGCCGACAGTCGTGTTTTTCAGGCGTGTGTCCGCTTGGCCCCGCATATCTCCCCTGTTCCTCCTTCCTCCCGCCTCCTTGTACATCCTCCTTGTGAGGGGAGCGGGAGAAGGACGAGGCGGAGGAGGAGGGAGAGAAAGCGCTCCTCGTGATTTGAGTCGTTTAGGGTTTCTCGTCCTGGTGTGAGTCGTTCGGGCCCTTCTTCCTGGTGTGAGTCGTTCGGGCTCTTCGTGGTGTGAGTCGTTCGGGCTCTTCGTCCTGGTGTGAGTCGTTCGGGCTTCTCGTGGTGTGAGTTGTTCGGGCCCCTCGTCCTGGTGTGACTCGTTCGGGCCCCTCCTCCTGGTGTGACTCGTTCGGGCTCCTCGTGGTGTGAGTCGTGAGGGGCCCGCGTCGTGGTGTGAGTCCTTCGGGCTCCTCGTGGTGTGAGTCGTTCGGGCGCCTCGTCCTGGTGTGAGTCGTTCGGGCTCCTCGTGGGGCCTCTTGGGGGCCTCTGGGATCCTCGTGGGGCCTCCTGGGGGCCTCTTGGGGGCCTCTTGGGGGCCTCTTGGGGGCCTCTTGGGGCCTCGTGGGGCCTCTTGGGGGCCTCTTGGGGGCCTCTTGGGGGCCTCTTGGGGGCCCTCTGGGGGCCTCTTCGTGGCGGCTCGTGGGGGGCCTCTTGGGGGCCCTTCTTGGGGGCCTCGTGCCCCGGGCTTTTCTTGGGGCCGCTTTTGGGGGCCTCTGGGGTGGCCTTGTGATGGCCTCTGGGAGCCCTTCCTGGTCTTGCCTCTTGGGGTTTCATCTTGGGGCTCTCGTTTTGCCGACCTCCTTCAGAAGAAGCGTCAAAACAGTGAGAGCTGCTGCCCCAACTGAGAAGGAACATTATTCACTTTTGCGTGGGGATCCGGGATCCGTGCATGGCATCTCCTTGCTGGCGCTCCCTTGGTGTGTGGGACCTCGGTGAGGACGAATCTGGATTTTTAAGTCGTGACTGAGCTGCCTCTCTCTCTCTCTCTGCTCTCTCTGTCTCTCTCTCTCTCTCTGCCCTCTCTCTGTCTCTGCCTCTCTTTCCCTGCCTCTCTTTCTCTCTCTCTCTCTCTCTCTGCCTCTCTCTATGCCTCTCTCTCTCTGCCTATCTCTCTCTCTCTCTGCCTCTCTCTCTGTGCCTCTCTCTCTCTGCCTCTATCTCTGCCTCTCTCTCTCTCTCTCTCTCCTCTCTCTCTTCTCTCTATTATCTCTCTGCTCTCTCCTCTCTCTCTCACTCTCCCTCTCTCTCTCTCTCGCTCTCTCTCTCTTCTCTTCTCTTCTCTTCTCTTCTCTCTCTCTCTTTCTCTCTCTATCTCTTCTCTCTCTCTTTCTCTCTCTCTATCTCTCTCTCTCTTCTCTCTCTCTCTCTCTCTCTTTCGCTCTCTCGCTCTCTCTTGCTCTCTCTCGCTCTCTGTCGCTCTCTCTCGCTCTCTTTCTCTCTCTCTCTCTCTCGCTCTCACTCGCTCTCTCTCGCTCTCTTTCGCTCTCCCTCGCTCTCTCCCGCTCTCTCCTTACATCCATCTCTCTACTCTGCTTCCCCTGTTCACTCCCGTCTCCCGCTCCGCTCTTTCTCTCTTCCTCTCCTCTCTCTCTCTCTTTCTCTCTCTCTCTCCTCTCTTCTCGCTCTCTCTCTCTCTCTCTCTTCACTCTCTCTCCCCCCCCCCTCTCTCCTCTCCACTTTCCTCTCTCTCTATCTGCCTCTCTCTCCTCTCTCCTCCATCTCTCCCCTTCTAGATCTAAACCAGTATGCGATTCGTTCCAGTTTTTTCTTCTCTCTTCTCTCTTCTCTCTCTCTCTCTCTTCTCTCTTCTCTCTTTCTCTCGCCTGTCTCCTCTCTCAACTCCCCCTCTCTCTCTCTCTCTCCGCTCTCTCTCTCTCTCTCTCTCTCCTCTCCCTTTCTCTCGCTTCCTCTCTCTCTCTCTCTCTTGCTCTCTCTCTCTCTCTCTCTCGTCACGGGCTCGTGAGATCAGCCAGGGTGGCTCCCCCTTGGGGCTCCCAAATGATGCCCCTGGCAGCGTTTTGTGACCATGAGGCTCTCAAGAGATACATGTTGGGGACGCCAAACGGCACTTCTAGCTGAGGCGTCCCACCAAAATCGGCGCGAACGGGCTCGTGAGATCAGCCAGGGTGACTCCCCCTTGGGGCTCCCAAATGATGCCCCTGGCAGCGTTTTGTGACCATGAGGCTCTCAAGAGATACATGTTGGGGGCGCCAAACGGCAATTCTAGCTGAGACGTCCCACCAAAATCGGCGCGAACGGGCTCGTGAGATCAGCCAGGGTGGCTCCCCCTTGGGGCTCCCAAATGATGCCCCTGGCAGCGTTTTGCGACCATGACGCTCTCAAGAGATACATGTTGGGGGCGCCAAACGGCAATTCTAGCTGAGACGTCCCACCAAAATCGGCGCGAACGGGCTCGTGAGATCAGCCAGGGTGGCTCCCCCTTGGGGCTCCCAAATGATGCCCCTGGCAGCGTTTTGTGACCATGAGGCTCTCAAGAGATACATGTTGGGGAGGCCAAACGGCAATTCTAGCTGAGGCGTCCCACCAAAATCGGCGCGAACGGGCTCGTGAGATCAGCCAGGTGGCTCCCCCTTGGGGCTCCCAAATGATGCCCCTGGCAGCGTTTTGCGACCATGAGGCTCTCAAGAGATACATGTTGGGGGCGCCAAACGGCAATTCTAGCTGAGACGCCCCACCAAGATCGGCGCGAACGGGCTCGTGAGATCAGCCAGGGTGGCTCCCCCTTGGGGCTCCCAAATGATGCCCCTGGCAGCGTTTTGTGATCATGAGAGAGTGTGAGTGTGATCTTAACTTATCTTATCTTATCTTGAAATCTCTTCTTATCATATCTTGTGCTATCTTATCTTATCTTGTAGTATCTTATCTTGTCTTGTCTTATCTGGTGATTATCATTGGGAGGAGGGAGGCGCGAGCGGGAGGAAGGAGGAAGGAGGAGCAGTGGGAGGCGTCAGAGTAATAACAAGAACCCCAATCCTTAGGATATGGGGAAAAAGATAGGACTCGATAAGATAAGATGAGACTCGCTCTCACTCAGACTCACTCACAGTCACATTCACTCACACTCACACTCTCTCATGATCACAAAACGCTGCAGGGGCATCATTTGGGAGCCCCAAGGGGGAGCCACCCTGGCTGATCTCACGAGCCCGTTCGCGCCGATTTTGGTGGGACGCCTCAGCTAGAATTGCCGCTTGGCGTCCCCAACATGTATCTCTTGAGAGCCTCATGGTCGCAAAACGCTGCCAGGGGCATCACTTGGGAACCCCAAGGGGGAGCCACCCTGGCTGATCTCACGAGCCCGTTCGCGCCGATTTTGGTGGGACGTCTCAGCTAAAATTGCCGTTTG